CTCATGGATGATAAATATCACACATTTACTGATAAGAGCGCATATTTTTTAAGTATGTCTGAACAAACTTGAGTTGCCATACAGTTATTATCTATATCTATCTATATTATTATAAAAGCACGAATAATTTATGTTAAATGTTTAACGATAAAAATATTCCTAAAATATTGTTTGACTTTTATACCCTAAAATATTTGTATAATGAAGCAAGTTAAAGGTAGATGTAATTGTAAATATTCAAAATAATATTACCCAAAATTCTTTTTCGGTTAAACTACAATATTAGTTCTAATTGTAAGATGAGTTAAATAGCAAGGCCGTAAACATACAAAAATGCTTAAACTCCTACGAAGTTGCTTTAGTTCTAATTGTAATATGAATTAAATATGCGTAATTGATCAATTAACTGTGTATTTGACTATAAAGCGTATGAGAGAATTCTAGGCCTTCCCAGCTTGAACAAATGCAGAAACCAAACTTTTTTTTCATCTTCTTGAATCTCAATGAAGGTAGGACCCTTAAACTTTCTTTTAAAAGTATTTATGTTTTAAATCTTTAGAATATAAGAAAATGTGTGTCATTATATAAGTTTCTTCTTCTTTTTTATCGGTGCAGGATATGTCTGAATCAAAGTTTGCTGATATTTTTTATATTGTCACTGTATTTGCATACTCCCAAATTATAGCAATTTCTTTCCAAATAATGTCCGTTAAGATAACAATTTTGGACTATCTCAACTTCTTAAAATCTATAGGTTATTGAGAGCATGCAGTTAAGGGTACTCAGAAGTATGAAAAGTATGATAAATTCTCTTTTATAGATTATTGATGTTATTTATTTATATTGTATTGGTTCTTGATATACACCTTGTGTTTTAGCACAATATTTCGTTAATTGGTAACTATATGAATGTCTCTATTAGTAAAATTTTACTAATATAAGACATGAATTGGATTCCAACATCGTTTATTCTCACATCATATCCTTATGAGCTGTTATATATTCTACTTTCTTTTTATTGTTTGCAAAGGAAACTTTTTGCTAATGACTCTCAATTTGGATAGGAATTCATAGCATTGTCTCGTGAGTATATTTATTGGCCCAATTAAATTCTAAGGAGAAGCTTTAAGTTATATTTATCACTTAAGTATGAGTTTATTAAATTTTGCTTCGTAATTTATACAAGAGAACGTGATTTTCTAAAACCTTTTAACTTGTTTGGACCACAGGATAATTCTCAAGGTAAGAGCATTCGTGCTCTTATCAACTGTGTATGAAGCTTACTTCAACTTAGTAAATGTGTCAGACTGTCGAACTTTCTTTTGTTTGATTTTCTTACTTTTTTTTCCTTTTATTCTTAAGGTTATGAATATTTTCTCACTTGATATATAAGGTCAAATGTTTTATATTGGATTCATAGTTCTTCTTTCTTTTTAAATTTTCGATAAGTTTAGAATTCTATATACATTTAAATCGTCTCTTTCCTCACTTTTTGTCGCAATCTCTCAAATAGTATACGTTCGCAACTAACATAAGTTGTATGAAATTGAACTTTTGGCTCGCTATATATATATATACATCAGACATATGAGAGAATAACTTAATAATCAAAAGGGTAAAGTGACATGACCACCTTTCTAAGATCAATGCTTAATTGGCATATTTTGATACATGCCATGAAAAAACGCTTATATATTGTTTAAAGTTAGATAGTAATTAAGTTGTTTTTTTAATATAAACTTCGATTTTTCTGCTTTTATTCAGAAAGACAAATAAAAATATCATAAAAAAGAAATTTGACATAGAAGAAGACTTGACAAAGAAGAGCAAAATGACATTGTCTATCTAAAATCATCGCTTGATTGACAATTACGATGTCTTTCTAAAGTCATCATAATTAACACAATTTTGATACATGACGTGAACTTTGTATATTATTTAAAGTTAGAGCAAAAGGTTGATCTTTAATATAAAGCTGGAGGAAGACAACATTTTTTACCTTATCTTTTAATAATTAGAGAGAAATATACATGCAACGCATGTACATAGAAACTAGTACTATTTAAAAGTATAAAAGCGTTAGCGAAATATCGTTTGTCTTTTTTACCCTTTAAAAATAGAGATCATACTAGACAAAACTGTAATTTAAGTTATATCCTAATATTTAGGACCTTAGAGTCAACCAAATTTTTGGCTATAAATTTTTTCTTATCTGAACTATGTACGAATTCTAAAAATTTTAAAAATTTAAAATTAACTAAAATTTTGTTAATACAAAACTCTTTCTTAGTTAAATTATTTAAATAAGTGTTGATTTATACATTAGATACGAAACTCCTTAGCACTTTGTGGTAGGCATTTGAACGGCTATCCTTTCACAAAATATTTACTATTCAGTGGTAAGTCTATTCATTCACAATTCAGAAAGTGGTAAACCTATTTAAAAGATATTCTTACGAAAATACATAAATAGCAACTACACAAAGCTCTAATTCATGGACAAAGAAGGAAAACTGAATGTAAATTTAATCCCACTATTTATCAAGATCGAATGATTTGAATTGATTTTCTTAAGAAAATATGTTGGTATAATTGTAATTTCTAACATTCCAATATAGTAAATTTTATTTGACCGACAAGTTGGAGAAAAAAAATACAATAGGTACATATTGAGTACCCGTAGAATTACAATTTGAAGTCACCAGGACAAATTACCTATTAATGTGCCATGTATTGCTTAATATTTTTTATATATGTTCGTCTGTAACTTTATTCACATATTTTATATTTATTTATATATTGCTCTCATGCCAAATTTGGTTATATAAACTTTTTTGAGATCAGAATAAGGCACGACTCAAAAGAAGGAAATAATAAGGGATTGAAATGGTGAGAATAACCCTAATTTTTTTTAGATGACTAGATTCATTTTTCTTATTCAAAAACTCTAATTTTTTATATTATTTTCTAAATTTTTGCCCCCTTGAAATTACAACAATTGAAAATGTAATACAAACTAAGGTAAGTGTATATGAAAATTATCACAAATATATCAATGCTAAATTGATAAAAAAAAAAAATTGGGATGAAGTATCTGTAGTCAAACATATTGTTCTTGCGCATATATTTACTTGACACGAGGCACACATGCACCGCACGTACACTAAACTAGTTATATTATTTTATATAGTATTGGGAGGTCAAAATAAAATTTTAACCACACTATTTTACACCAACAAAATAATCTAGGTTACTTGTTAAAAGCTTCCTTGAATAAGTAATAGTTACCTTGCAAAATATATTAGTAGTATGTTTATGAAAAGATAAACAAAATTGGCAATCGAACGGTAATTCTTTTGCTTAAATAAACTCATACGGTTCGAAGTGTATCTTGCTTTGAGCGAGTCACTTGGACCGGAAAATAAAAATCTCTTCAATTCAAACTTTAGTGTGTTGAGTTGTGTCCCGCGTCTGTGGGTTATGAGTATCTTGGTCTCCTTATATGGTCTTGTGCAGCCTCACCTCACAAGCTAGCTTTTGGGATTAAGTTAGGCCCAAGGTCCATTCTTATCACAATGTTAATATTCGTTGGAATTTTCTAGTGTTGAAATTTCTCTAAGCGCTTAAAACTTTTTGACGTTGGAATTGAAAGTTTGAAGTGCTAGAAATTGCTTAATAATTTAATATTTATAAGGAGTTAAAAAATTTCTACCACACCTTTTAATGAAAGACAAGTATATTTTCATCTTTTAACTTCTTGGTTTAGAACTTCCCACTTTTAAATTACTAGATTGTTTATTTTTTTCTTAACAAATACTTGCCGTAAGTTTTAAGGTTCTTGTTGCAATATTTGAAGTCTTAATTCTTTTTCAGATTTTTAAGAACGATGTGATTCTGGTATTTTCACACGCAGTATAAAAAAGTAAGTCAATAAGAAATTTAATAATTCTTTTACTTTCTTTACTCCTCCGATCTTTTGTTTTATTGTTGGCTGATCAATTTTGTTCTCTTTCTTCTTATGGTCAAATATGAAAATTATAGATTAATTTTGGTATACTCATCGGAGATTTTTAATTCATTCAATGTTTCAAGTTGGTAAGAAGTTCTTTCTCGCAAGCTTAGCACGAAACTGGTAATACCAACTGGAAAAAATTGATTCCGTAAGAATATAAACGAAACATATATACAAGTTTACGCTTGCTTATACACAACCCCTTGAGATTTAAATCTTCTCATTTAAGTTCCAGTAACTATTAATCGATACGCATAATATAAATAGGATATCTTCTCCTAGTCCAAGTAAATGTGAACTTAATTGATTGAAGAAATGATAGTCACAAAATTAGTGACTTAAGAGAAGAAGATATTGTAGAGTAGAAAGAAGAAAACGAGAGAGAAGAGTGTAGAGAGAGAAGTATTGATTCTGTATTATTGAACTTAATTTGAATAAAAGATTACAACATTATTATACTAGATCACTAGCTTAAGCTAACTAACCTTAATCAATTAGCTAACTAATTCTGTTAACAATGACTTAACAGAATAACTAACTAACATGGTGAAATTACAAGATTGCCCTTATGAGCTTTGAGCTATATTTTCTTAACACTCCCCCTCAAGCTAGAGGGCATAAAAACATAAAATGTCCCTAGCTTGGAAATCAGATATTGATGCTGAAATTTGCTCAGTCCTTCTGTGAATATATCTGCAGGTTGTTCCTTTGTAGAAATATACTCAGTTTTGACCATGCCTTGTTGAATCTTTTCCCTTATAAAGTGACAGTCTATCTCAATGTGTTTTGTTCTTTCATGATAGACTGGGTTAGCTGCTATTTGAATGGTAGCTTTACTATCACAAAAAATGGTAACTGGTTGATCATTTTTCACATCAATCTCCTTCAGTAATCCTAGTAATCGTGTTAATTCAGCAACAGTAGATTCTAGACTTCTGTATTCTGCTTCAGTAGAACTTCTTGAAATTGTAGTTTGTTTCTTAGATTTTCATGAAATCGGTGATTCTCCTAGCTTGATTAAATAGCCAGTAACTGATTTTCTGGAGTGTGAACATGCTTCCCAATCAGCATCACAATAGGCTGTGATTGTTTCATTGTTGTTGCTAGTACCTTGTCCTGGTTGGCTTTTGATATATTTCACAATTCGTAATGCAAGTTCCATGTGAGACCTTTTTGGCCGTTGTAGATACTGACTGAGTGTTTGAACACTATAGGATATATCAGGTCTAGTAATAGCTAAGTATAATAGTTTACCTATGAGTCTTTGATAGCTGCCGTGATCTGCTAGTATATCATCCTCTGCTAGTTTGTCTTGACAAAAGTGTTCATCAAATTCTCTTGTAGTGAGTTCTATGTTTGTGTCCATAGGTGTGCTAGCAGGTTTAGATGCTGCTAATCCAAGTTCAGATATTAGTTCCAAAGAATACTTTCTCTGATGCATCAGAATTCCTTGTTTTGACCTTGCAAATTCTATTCCAAGAAAATACTTTTGTTCTCCTAGATCCTTCATTATGAAAGTCTGTTGAAGAGCTTCTTTTGTATCTTGTATCAGTTTCAGATTGTCTCCTGCTAGAAGCATATAATCTGCATATACTAACACAACAATGGTTCCACTTTCAGTTTTCTTAACAAATAAAGAATGATCATATGGGCTCTGCTTGAATTGAAATTTCAATAAAGCTTCTGTCAGCTTTGAGTTCCACTGCCTTGGTGCTTGTTTAAGTCCATACAAGGATTTTTTGAGTCAGTACACAGGTTTATACTCCCCCTGACTCTTAAATACTTGTGGAAGATCCATGTAAATCTCATCATGAATATCACCCTGTAAAAATGCATTATAGACATCCATCTGATGTACATGCCATTTTCTAGAGGCTGCAATTGCTAACACAGTTCTGACTGTTACCATTTTAACAACTGGAGAGAAGGTTTCTTGATAATCTATACCTTCTCTTTGACTGTAGCCTTTAGCTACAAGTCTAGCTTTGAATCTTTCTATCTCTCCTATAGCCTTATATTTGATTTTGTATATCCATTTGCACCCTATGGCAATTTTACCTTCTGGCTGTTGATACCCAATTTTTCCCTAGGTAATTTTATACCCAATATATTTTCAAAATAGCATATATGTGCATATATCAGCACACCCAAGAGTTTTGGTATTTTTAATGATTTTTAAAACCAAGTTATTGCCTATTTTAATACCATAAATACAATAATTGTTCCCAAAATTATTATTTTTGGTGAATAACTTATTTTATACACCAAAATACAATTAAGGCAATTTTTGCACATTTTTACAATTTTATTTGGCATTTTTAAAAGCTAAATTGCATATAATTGCAATTATAGCCTATTTTGTAATTGATAGCGTCTTATAATTATAAGATTAACCCTAGTATTTTTTAATTAATATTTGTATGATATTTGTTTACCCAGTACTTTTAATTTGTTCTTAAAATCGTTATTGCTATTTTTTATAAAATAAAATGGGAAAAGTGGCTATTTACAATCTAGCCTCAATTGTATTTCAATTTCAGCCAATTTGGCACCCCTTTAACCCGACCCAGCACCTACTCAACCGACCTAGCCCATAACCCCGTTCAATCTCGGCTATTGATCACTTAGATCAACGACCACCATTGATTCTTTCCTTTTTAATTTCAAACGACCCCTAAACCTACCCCATTCCTTCAGAGACGCCGCCTTTGAATCCCTTATTTCTCTCAACTCTCTCTTAACCCACCTTAAACCCTAGCCACCGCCTCTCACTGAAACCCTAATCCATGGCTTCCCAGACTCATCGGAGACCCGTACCAGCCTCTCATGGCCTCTACGTGCTCGTCTTTGAGGTCCTATGACCAGATCTTGAAGGGGTTTCGACCAAGCCTTTGCTTGATGACTGTTCCCCGGTCGTCTTCAACCTTTGTCCAGGCCATCCATGGCTTTTCGAGTTCGATCTTCGACTTTCCTGCTTAGATCGATGGTTTTCAAAGCCTTTCTCATCTCCTGGGTTTCTTACGAAATCCTAATCTCTAAGGTTCCTTCGATTTTATTTCAGATCTGCCCCATATCTATATGTGTTTGAACTTTCTAAGCATCTTTCTTAAAGTTTCTTTAATTTTTTGCTTTCAAAACTCTTTATTCTTTAATTAGGGTTTTATGTTAAGGTATTTTGAATCTCTTCTCTGATTCTCGACATGTTTTACTGTGTTTTACTTGTGTTGTTTTCTATCTGAGTTAGCATGTTTAAAACCCTAATTCTTGAGATTTTGTTTGAGTTTCTTAGTCTGTTTGTTAACATTCGTTTACCTTGTTTTTCTATCTGAGTTAGCATGTTTAAAACCCTAATTCTTGAGATTTTGTTTGAGTTTCTTAGTCTGTTTGTTAACATTCGTTTACCTTGTTTTTCTATCTGAGTTAGCATGTTTAAAACCCTAATTCTTGAGATTTTGTTTGAGTTTCTTAGTCTGTTTGTTAACATTCGTTTACCTTGTTTTTCTATCTGAGTTAGCATGTTGAAAACCCTAATTTTTGGGGTTTATTCGAGATTCTGAATTTGTTTGCTTGTTTCACTTGTTTATCGCCTCTAAACCTGACTAATTTTGAAAACCCTAGTTCTTTAGGGGTCTATTTGAGTTCATGAAGTTCTTCGTCTGTTGAAATTGCTCAATATGATTCCTTTACTTCAACTCTCTTTTTTCTTTATGTGACTCTTTTGGTTCTGAGTTCTTGCTACCTGTCAAACTCGACTATGATTTTCACTCGACTCTTTGCATGCCTCTGATCCTTTTCTCTATTACTAAACCACTGAAACCTGACTATCATGCTTCGAATGATTGCGCTATGCTACTACTGTATGTTGTTTCTTTTGTCATAGCTTGTCCTCACATGTCTATTACTTGTGCATTCCTTTATATACTGAGTCCCTTCTGTGATTGATTTTCAAACTCATAACTGATTTCAAAACTTTTCCCTCTTACTCGCCTGTTAAGGGTTAATTGATTCTCTTTCTTGGTTTGGCCTTACTAAACCCTTTCCAAAAATAAGTACAATCCTGTACTTGGACTTAAATACCTATTGTATGATTTTACTGCTCCTTTTATGGCAACAACCATTCTGCTTACAGACTGATTTTCTTTCCTTATTTTTGATCCTGTTAGTATCCGTTTGAACAATAATCCCTTGATTAAAGGGAAGTCTTGTGTTAATTGATTCTGATTGTGATCATGCCCATATTTGTGTTAAAGCTATACTTGTTACCTTATTCTTTACTCGTTTTCAAAACTATAAATACCTATACTCTTCTCTTTCAAAGACACGAACACACACAACATAAGTCACTACTTCTTCTCTCAAATACTCTTAGTTTTTCTTAAAAGCATTCGAGTTTTTCTCTGAACTCATAAGCTAGAGTCCTCTTCTCTGATTGTGCTTTGGCTGCAAGTATTCTGCTTTTCTTCCTGCTTACTTTTCTGCAACTGGTATGTCTCTTCTTGTTTAAATTCTGCCTCTCTCTTATGTGTTTATGCTTCAGTCTTCTCTTTGTTTATTTTACTGCTTTTTGCAAGTTTGTTTATTCCTGCTCCTATATGAATCCCCATCCCTAAACCCTTTGTATGCTGAGTTATGGTTCAGAAAACATGACAACCCTTGACATTGTTATTCATGTATATGGACTGGACTCCCTGAGTCCTAAACTCTTTCAATTCCCATTCCCCTTTCCCTTTATGTGTATTCTGAGCCTGAGACTTTGGTATGGCAGTGTCCTAATCACTATCCAAACCATAGTCTGACCTTCAATAGGTCTGTGCTCTTCTGTGTTGGCTGAACAGGCCTGGTCAGGGGTGTGCCAGCCTATCCTATGGCTAGGCATGACCACCAGCCTGCCATGGCACTCCCTAACTGTTGATATCCAATTTTTCCCTATGTATTTTTATACCCAAAATACTTCCAAAATAACATATATGTGCATATATAAACACACCAAAAGGTTTTGGCATTTTAATGATTTTTAAACCAATTTATGGCCTATTTTTACACCATAAAATCCAATAATTATTCCCAAAGCTTGCCATTTTGGAGAATAATTATTTTATTCTCATATTTACACCAAAATATATCCAGCATGATTTTTGCACATTTTTTGCAAATTCGCTTGGTATTTTTAAAGCCAAATTGCATATAATTGCAATACTAGCCTCTTTAAGATTTAATAGCATTTTATAATTACAAAATTGATCCCAATATTTTTGAATTAATATTTATATATTATTAGTTGACTCAGTGCATTTAATTTACTTTTAAAACATTTTTACTATTTTTATAAAATAATAAAAGGAAAAATTGGCTATTTCAATTGTAGCCTCAATTCATTTCAATTATAACCGAAATTCCATTTCAATTTCAGCCTGAAATCAGCCCAATTTCGAACTTAATTGGACCAGCCCAATTCATTCAAACCCAGCCCCTTGACCCATTTAATCCAACCCGCTCGGAAATTCTTTTAATCCAGGCCGTTGATCAAAACAAACGACCCTTTCCTTTTTAATTCTATCAACCCCCCAACCCTAACCCTCATTTCTCTTAGACAGCCGCCTCTGAAACCTCTTCTCTCTCAAAACGCTCTCAAGCACTCGAAACCCTAATCGCCTCCCTCGTCTTCTCCGACCATTATTTCGCCAGAGTCCATGGCTTTTCAGGCCATGGACGACCCGTGCTCACCTTCCTTCACTCCTAAGCCATGGGTGTTCGAGATTTCGAGGTTTGACCTCAACGGCGTTCGTTCAGATCTTCTTAGATCTGTGTTTCTATGGCCTCTCCGACCTTGCTCCGACGTATTCGAGCTTTAGAAGCCTAGCCATGGCCATCTCCGACTCAAGACCAGACCTCTTCCAAGCCTTCTCATTTCTAAGGTTTCAGAGAAACCTTAAAGCTATTCGAGGTTCCTTCCTCTTTTATTTACTTAGATCTGTGGTGAATCCGTGCTATATTCAACGTTTTAAAGCTTTTCCCCAATTTTCTTTTCAAAATTAGTTCGCTTTCAATTTAGGATTTTCGAAAAAATCTCAAAATAACTTCTAACTCTTATTCTTCTTCTTCTTTTCTTTGTGTGAATTTGTCTGTACCACGTTCTTATGAGTTTTTCTCTTGTGTTCTTATGTTTGCTATACGATGTATGTTCTTCTATTTTTGTGTTCTGTTTTTCCCTCTACTGGGTTCTATAAGCATGCTTTACATGTCTATCTCGTATGTTCCTCTACTGTATTTTTTACTGAGCTTTTGCTCCTTGCTTGCCTTTACTGGACTTTGTTTGAACCCTAAGCATGTTTCATCTACTATTTTCCTAAACCTGTATCGCTTTTTCTTTTCTGAATTTGTTTGAGTGACAAGCTTTGCCTAAATGTATTCCCTGTGTTTCAAACTTGTTGTTCTCTCTGTTTGTTTCTCATAAGTCTCTGAAAGAGACTACTGAGCCTGTTCTATTTGTTGTTTTCTCATCTATGCATCTGATTCGAGTCAGAAACCCTAGTATTTGGGGGGTTTTGGCAAGCTTGACTTTGTGTTTGGACTAGGGTTCCATTCAGAACCCTGACTCTCTTTCAGACTCATTCTGAGTCTGTGAACCTAACCTTCTTGGGTACTCTGATTTCTTGCTAGTTTTACAACAACTCTCTCTTGTCTCACATGTCTGTATGCTTTTTATATGACAAATTCTCTTCTTTCAAAAGGCCTTTGGCCAGCTTGTGATTGATTCCGAGTTCCTTTTTTAAAAGGTTTGATTGTGTGTTGTTGATTTTCTTTAAATTAAACCCTTCTTACCTTTTTCTGGTTGGATTCATTCACACTAAGATTCGAATCCTGATTTTACTGGCTGGTTGATTGATTGTCTTTCCTTGTTTGACCTAA